TTTGCCCACACCTAAAATAGGGGAATTAACTTTTCAACTTCGTTTGAAAATTAGCTGAAATTCTAGAAAGTTTAGCGTTCTAACTACTGGGTTAAATCTTCATAATTGATAGGAGAAAAATGAAAAAGGAAAATTAAGAGCGAGAGCCAGTTGCAAAGTACATGATGAGGAAACAATTCTCCTTTTAAGTATTTCTGTTAGCATTTTTCATTACAAAGGGAAAATGATAAGTGAATCAACATAATAAGTTGTTTAGGTGACGAGCTATATGATCATTTGGCAGTGTTGCAAGATATCAAGAAGCCAATCCTGCTGTTTACACTTGTATTACTTTTCCATTTCTTTTCGCGGTGATGTTTGGGGACTGGGGTCATGGAATATGCTTGTTGCTGGGAGCATTAATTCTTATAGCTCGTGAAACTAAGCTCAGTGCTCAGGTACGCCCCTTTTTGTGAACTTCTAGCATTTAAATTTAAGAGGAGTGTACTATCTGAAGACGTTATACTTGATCACTAATGAATTATATTGCTTTAGTTAAGTCAAAACTTCTTCAAGCTGCTTGGCAACATGTACCATTTTCCAGTTCATAGGCATTGACTCGATCAGCTGCAATTAAAAGTATCTTTCGCTCTCCCCAGAAGTTGTCAAAAGATATGTTGCAACCCTAGCCATAACCAATATTGTCCACTAGTACCACTGACCCTGAACTTTTTTTCTGGTTGTCGTTGTTACTGTGTCTATGCTATTCAGCAAGATTTAATATAATAGAGATTGCGGTTTTTGTTATCCAAGGATTCATAATATAACCAATCCTGCAGCAAAGATTTAGCTAGCACCAACGTAATATCCTGAGCTAGATTCACAATCTCATGGTTTATTTATGGAGGAATGATGTGGTCTTACTGTGGTAATGATGACAGTATCAAATAATAATACTTATAACAGCAACAGTAGCAATAATTTCTTTCATATGGAGCTATAAGTAGGATAGTTCTCTTTCAGTTTTCGTTTTTAACAAATATTTGTTATGATTCTGGTGTTTAGAAAGAACATAACATGCATTTAACACGTGAAAGAGAATTGTATTTTTTCCACTTGTCTTATTAAGAAATTTTATATTACTTCCTACCAGAAACTTGGGAGCTTTATGGAGATGCTATTTGGTGGGCGATATGTACTTCTTTTGATGTCCCTATTTTCAATCTACTGTGGGTTGATTTACAATGAGTTCTTCTCTGTTCCTTTTCACATATTTGGTGGGTCTGCTTACAAATGTAGAGATACCGCTTGCAGGTAAGCTCTCTATTTTAAATCTTCAATCTCTAATTTTTCCTTCAGCTGGGTTGTTTGGAATGAGTTTGTGTTCAACAATATACCACTCTGACTTCTTGTTTTAGAGATTGAGGTTTCTGGAATCTATGTGCTTAAACCCCACTACTAGGCTGGTGTTACATGGCTTTTATCACACCTCTGCTTAATTAGAGATCAATCCTTGTAAGAGTTTTTAATGTTTTTTCGAATTATCTAATATTTATAAGATTCACAGAATCTTCCTATTAAAAGTTTAATAATTATTTATTAATCTAATAGTTATTTTTCATCATCATCATTCTGGATGGATTGGTGGTTTCATTGCCTCCTTTAGAGTTCATTCCTATGGCCTGCTGCCGCTAGGGTCGTCCCTCATTCAATCCATGGGGATTCTCCCCATCTTGATTGATGACTTTGGTGGTGTGTTACTTACGAGCATCTGTCTGGTCTGTGGTGCACGGAGCTTGAGAAGATACGATATCTATCCAAGCCATGTGTATCACTGTTGTTGGAACTTACTTTGATCTGCTAATCATAGCTGTCCTTCACTAGGCATTTATGGCACTATGTTGTCTGGCGGTTTCTCAATCACCTCTATTTTATAACTCTTAAAAATCTTCCATTGTTTATGCTGGCTGAACTTATGACTTTCCTCAGCAGAAAACTAACTACTTATCATAAATTTGTCTTCTTTTGAGCAGTGAGGCGTACACTATTGGTTTAATCAAGTACCGAGATCCATACCCATTTGGTGTGGATCCCAGTTGGCGTGGAAGTCGTTCAGAGCTGCCTTTCTTGAATTCTCTCAAAATGAAAATGTCGATTTTGTTGGGTGTGGCGCAAATGAACTTAGGAATTCTACTTAGTTACTTCAATGCACGGTTTTTCAGCAGCTCGATTGATATAAGGTGGGTCTCCTGTTTTTTCACTTTTCCCATTGTTGTATTACTTTCAAATGAAGTGCACAAGCGTTTGACTTGTTCTGCATCTTGTTGTTAGGTACCAGTTTGTGCCGCAGGTGATCTTTCTTAACAGCCTTTTTGGATATCTTTCACTTCTTATTGTCATCAAGTGGTGCACCGGCTCTCAGGCAGACCTCTATCATGTAATGATTTACATGTTCTTAAGTCCGACTGATGATCTTGGTGAAAATGAATTGTTCTGGGGCCAAAGACCACTTCAGGCACAAGTTCTAATCTTCTCTTTATTGTTACTTCGTATGTATAATGGCTTATGTTCTCAATTTATGTTATGGTTAACAGGGCTCTGTTTTTGCAGATCATTTTGTTGCTTTTGGCTCTAATCGCAGTTCCATGGATGCTCTTTCCAAAACCTTTTATTTTGAAGAAGCTTCATACGGAGGTACTGTGGTGTAACATGCTTAGGCTTCAGTTTTGGATTTTTAAGAAAACCAGCAAAGGAATAAACTTAAAGCCAAAATTTTCTTTGACGTTTCTGTTTTGTAAATGTTGTTTAAAATGTGATTACTAGTGATTAGTATCCTCAATTAGTGGACTTAGTTTATTTATATGTGGTATAGACTTGTCTTTGACTCACTTAAAGGTATTTGAGGGGAGATATAAGGAGCTTGAGAAGATATGATATCTATGTTTTCCTGATGTTATTTTCCAGAGGTTTCAAGGTCGTGCGTATGGGATGCTTGGCACCTCAGAGATGGACCTTGATGTAGAGCCTGATTCTGCGAGGCAACATCATGAGGAGTTTAATTTCAGTGAGGTATTTGTACACCAGATGATACACTCCATAGAGTTTGTTCTTGGTGCAGTTTCAAATACTGCATCATATCTACGACTATGGGCTCTGAGGTATACCTATATTGTTTACATATTACATATTTTGTAGTTTACCTGTATGTATATATATTTTTCTTTTGCTTATTCCGTGGTTTTCTTTCATCTATGTGGTAGCCCTTTTCTTTAATATCTGTTACTGCAATTACAGCTTGGCCCACTCAGAATTGTCAACCGTTTTCTATGAGAAAGTCCTTCTCCTTGCCTGGGGGTGAGTTCCAATCTCTATCTTGGCATGCATGTGCTTCTGACTGCTAGTTTTTCTTGCTGCATATGATGGTGCATGTATTCTTCAATCAGTAATAATGAACTTGTGAAAATAATTATAACAGGTACGACAACTTTGTTATCCGGTTAATTGGGTTAGCAGTTTTTGCGTTTGCAACAGCATTCATACTACTCATGATGGAGACGCTCAGTGCTTTTCTTCACGCCCTGCGTCTTCATTGGGTGGAATATCAAAATAAATTCTACTATGGAGATGGCTATAAGTTCAAACCTTTTTCCTTTGCCTCCATAACTGAGGATGAGGATTAGTCCACTTGTACACCAGTTTTCTTGTTCTTTGGAAGGAGAAGATATGTAAGCTAAGCACCAAGAATGGCAGAGTTCTAGCTCCAGCCTGAAATGGAATTCAGAGAGCCCCATTTCGGGTGGCGTAGAGGAGGTAGATGCTCGATTTTGACGTAGAAATGTAAAGTCCTGGCTCGTATTCATTTGGTGTTCCATTGGTATAAAAAAAAAAGGTTCCATACAAGAGTCATGGTTAGTTCCCTTCATAGGTGTATTTACGTTGTTTGTATTTCATTTATATCTAATCGGAATGAGAGGGGACAGGGGAATTAGATTCACCGTTTGTAAAGAGGAGCTGGGGAATCATCATACCGTGTAGCGTTTCTGGGATTTTAGTTTATTTAGCTTACACACACATGCACATTAAGTGCTGATTTTGCTGGGAATTGGTCCTGGATTCTTTACAATTGTGACATGTATAAGTTTATGAATCACAAATTCAAAGAAATTCATTTTGTAAGGATAAATAAGTTAGATAATTCCAAGCTCATTGTGCCTGAAAAATAGCATGATATTCGTACAATGTTCTTCAACTTTAAGAGCTTAATGATATGATGGAAATTCTTCCCCTTGACAGTTTTAATTTGTAGCAACTTTCTTTATGAATTTTATTCCGGGAGATAATCAAGAGTTAACTTCCATTTTTCAAGTATTTCAGCGTCGTCTTTGCGATGATATGTAGGTGGTAATTACCGCGCTTAACTTTAGGGGACATGTTTGGAATCAAAGAATTTGAATAAAAGCAATAGTCTAAATTATAAGAGAATGAGGTTTTTCACGCACATATTACGAAGGTGCCATAGAGGTTCAAAATTTGTACCATTGTGTTGTTATACACTATCTGCTTGAGCAATTCAAGTTGAGCTCATGCTGCTCAAATCCCCATCTCGAAGATCAGGCTACTAAGGTTGATAATGAATCGACTCATTTATACTTCATGTTTAACAAATTCTATCATATTCGTGTTCGTGTCAAGTAACGATCAAACCAAATCCGCTGACTTAATTGCATTAATCATCAAAGTCAAAACTATCCTCCATCCCTTTAGCTTTAACCCCTCGACAACAAGGGAATCATTCGTAATTTGACTCAGCAGTCACGTGGTCGCTGTCCATTTGTCTCCATCCCCATCCATCCTTTGCCGCTCGTCGATCCATTCAAAATTTTTAAGATCCACAAACAAACAATTTGCAGACTTCTGCACTACGCCCATTTCCTTCGATCATTTCCCCCATTTCCCATTCGATCTTTCTAGAAACTTTGAGAGAGAGAGAGAGAGAGAGAGAGAGAGAGAGAGAGAGGGAGATGGAATCCGACGTCCCTCTCATCGAAATCGCTGAAGAAGACGATTCGCTGCTTCAATTGATCCAGGACGATAACATTTCGAACAGTAACAGAAGCAAAAGCACCAGCGACGACGCCATTTTCTTTTGCTCGCCTCTCCAACCCCGCAGATCCAAGCCAGTCGGTTAGGGTTTTCTCTTACTCTCTCACTGAGTCTATGCTTCACATTTTGCTCTCTGTTTTGGCCTTGTAGGGTTTCGTTTTTCTCTTCATTTGAATAATGTTGACTCAGATTGACCTCTAATTGTGCTCTGTAGTGTACAATTCGTCGTCTTAGTGATTTATTTTTACATGTTTATATGTATATGAACATAATTGGACCTACATTGCATGGCATACAATGAAAACTCTGTGAATTATATTGCAGCGGTGAATGAGAAATCCCAAAAACCAAGCTCTCCGTCATGTAGGGATAGTATAGATAAAGAGAATAATGGTAGTAATGCAAACAAAATAGAAGAACAAAAACTCAGCCTCCAGCCGCAGCAAATGAAGAGGAAGAAGGGGGGAGGATACAATTTGCGTAAAAGCCTAGCTTGGGATCGAGCCTTCTTTACTGATGAAGGTTCCGTTTTGTTTCTGGATTGTTTTAATTTTTTTCATATAGAAAAGAAAATTAAAGCTGGGTTTATTGTTTTCTTTCCCATTTTGGTACTTTTGTCAGGTGTTTTGAATTCCGAAGAGTTATCCCTGATTAGTGGAAGTGCAAATTCTAATGGGTTGCTGTCAGTTATCCATGAAGACACAAATAGCATTGCTGATTCAGAAGATCTAGAGGTGATTGAAGAAAAATTATTCAAGGTATTGCCGGAAAGTCCTTCAAGTAAAGATAGGACTGTTGGTGGCAGTTTATTACCAAAGCGTGACTCATCAGCTAAAGATAATGCAGCCCCAGGTTCTGCGGTTAGTAGTCAAATCTCTTATAGGATGGGAAAGTTTTCTTTAAGTTGAAGATTGTTCAATTGGAGTCATGTTTCTGATTTTTAGGCCAAGCGGAAGGTGCTTTCAGCCCGTGATATCAATAGAAGTGGCTCAAAACGCAGTGGTTGCCCTCGACCTTTAGCCTCCTCTTCATATCCTTTTGATTAATTTTTCTATATGTCAGAGTTTTGGTGAGTCTTTTGTTATGTTAATGAATTTTTGGGAGGGTTTGCCTTGACTTATGTGAACTCTGAAAAGGCCTGCAAATGTGAATACAATGAAATCACCGATTAAAGAACCAAGAATTTCTACATTACCGGTTCGAAAACCTGATCCCTGTCTGCTGTCTAGGACTTCCAAGAATGTGATGGTTGGTGCAAATGATTTAAAGAGGAATCAGATTGCTCACCCTGGTAAATATTTAGATATTGACTGCATTTATTAGTGAGATTTATTTATTTATTTAACTGCTTCTAGAAGGCCCTATAGTCTAACATGTTCGTACTTTCTTAAAGGACTAGCTTCTCCGCACGCGCGGAGAGGCTTTTTTTAAATTTTTTAAATTTATTTTAGAATTAAAAAAGATAATGGGTAGTTGTGTTCCATAAATTTAGGATCCATTATCTGATTTTTCTTTTAATTTTAATTTTTTTAAATATGAAAAAGTGTGAATTTACCATATTATACTCATTTAATTAATAATTTCAATTCTTAATGTTTGCATTAACAAAGGGCATTTTCTGGTATTTTGAATGTTTTACCGTTCTCTGCCTTTTGCTTTATATATATAGATATAGAAAAAGAAATAAGATTTTCACATTTGAATCAAATGGAAATTATTTGTTTATATTCTGTTAACTACTTCTCTCTCATGCAGCAGGGAAATTGAACAACAACAAAACTGGGCCAAATAATGCAAAAGTTGCTCCTGGAAAATCTTTAACTTCTAAAAGTTCTGTTCGGCAAGCCAGAAGAAATGTGGTGAGAGCTTGAAGCTTAAGTAATAGTCTTTGTAAATTAACTACTAATAATACGTGTGACTATAGACATTTCCTTTGTACTGCGTCAACAATCTGGTATTAATAAAGATGTATGTGCTTCTTGTGTTGTGAATTTCCATTATTTTGCAGGCCAGCTTGGTGAAGGGTTCACCAACCAAAATAACATGTCCACCTACTATTGAAGCAAATAATGGCTTCGAGGTGATCTCAAAACAGACACTTCCTTCTACTGGTCATGCATCGTATGGCCATGATGACAGATCCAAAAAAACTGCAGTTCCGCAGATGATCTCAAAACAAGCACTTCCTTCTACTGGTCATGCATCATATGGCCGTAATGACAGATCCCGGAAAACTGCAGCTCCAGAGGCGATCTCAAAACAAGCACTTCCTTCTACCGGTCATGCAACATATGGCTGTGATGACAGATCCAGAAAACCTGCAGTTCCTCTTCCTCATACTGGTGTGAACTTGTCACGTACTCAGCTCCCAACATCAAAGCCATCAGGTTTACGGATGCCATCACCATCACTGAGTTTCTTTCATCAGGTCTTTTTCAAACAACTGTTCTGCAGCTGCATAAAAGAGATGATATTTTCTCAACTCAATATGTCTGATTTTCCTTTGCTATATTTTTGATAAATTGTTTGCAGCCAAAAGCTTCTTCTTTGCCTAGTCCTTTGAAGACAAGCTCTCAGCCATGCATTATGCCTAATTTGAGGCAAGTTGGTTCCATAGATCCAATTCATGAATTGAGGCCGCCCTCTTCCCTTGGGAAAAAGCAAAATGTTATCAATGATCGGACAGTAATTGGAAATATTAATGTCCAATGCTCAAGTTCAGGTTGCTCAGTTTCATCTACAATTAACTCTGCCACAAAGGATAAGGTGGAACCATTCTCGCAAGTAACAAATATGCAGAAGGTGGAACTGAAGGTACAATCTAGCTCAAGTAGTTATGATATGGCAGAGAATCAGCGAAAGTTCAATAGCATTCCTGTTCATGAAGACCAACAATCTATGGGAGAGGTAGAATTTCAGAGGAACAATGATAAGTTTCTTTTACAGAGGGGATCCTGTGAACAATTGGTTAAAGATGACAATAGCGTGAAGGCTGCTTTTGATATGGAGAAACCTCATGTTACACCCCATCTTAGTTCTGCAGTGAAATTTCCCTGTTTTTCTGGCGAAAATGACATAACTATCCATCAACTTGTTGAAGACAAATCCCATGACTTGCCACAAAAGAATTGTGGTGTCCTTTTAGGGTCCAAATCTGAAGAGGCAAGTTCTTCTGGTAGTGTCTTAATATCATACGATGATCAGTCAAGCAGCGATCATAATGTCAATGAACTGTGTGGGGCAGAAGCTGATCTGTTTAAACCTATGACCAGTGAAGGCAACCAAATTTCTGATGAGGATCAAATGATCTGGGAAAACACGGGTAGTTTCACCAAGGAATGTCAAGTTTCTGAAGATATCCAGAGCTATAGTTCTGTGAAGGTTGCAGATGTCAGTCCAAAGGTCCAAAATTCTAGTGCATCTGAATTGAAAAGGTCTGATCCTTTGTCTGACTCTAGAATTAAAAACCAAGCAAAAGATGATGGTAGTAGGTTTAACACAAAGAGTAGGAACCCACATGTGGAAGATGCACAAATGCTGGCTTTAGGTGGAAGGATGATAGATGAAATGAATGATGTTGACCTGAGCACTTCAGCTCCAGAAAATCGTCAACTGGTGATAACTGATTGTGGAAATGAAAAACCTGAACAGCTAGACCTTCCAAATTCCTGCTATGTTGGAGAACAGGTTTTCCAGGAAAATAAATTGCACTTAAATGATTGTGTGTTGGATGGATTCAGTATTTTCCCTGAAGAATCCCAGCAGAAAAATGTTCTTCAATGTGTTGATTCAAAAGAACCAGAAGGAACTGGTGCCTGCAGAAGTGAATCAGAAGTTTCCAGAACCCTTTCTCTAATTGGAAATATTAATGTCCAATGCTCAAGTTCATGTTGCTCAGTTTTATCTACAATTAACTCTGCCACAAAGGACAAGGTGGAACCATTCTCACAAGTCACAGATGTGCAGAAGGTGGAACTGAAGGTACAATCTAGCTCAAATAGTTATGATATGACAGAGAATCAGCGAAAGTTCAATAGCATTCCTGTTCATGAAGAACAACAGTCTATGGGAGAGGTAGAATTTCAGAGGAATGTTGATAAATCTCTTTTACAGGGGGGATCCTGTGAACAATTGGATAAAGATGACAATAGCGTGAAGGCTGCTTTTGTACTTACTCCAGAAAGTAAAGATATGGATAAACCCCATGTTACACCCCATCTTAGTTCTGCAGTGAAATTTCCCTGTTTTTCTGGCGAAAATAAAATAACTATCCATCAACTTCTTGAAGAAAAATCCCATGACTTGCCACAAAAGAATTGTGGTGTCCTTTTAAAGTCCAAATCTGAAGAGGCAAGTTCTTCTGGTGGCATCTTGATAGCATACGATGATCAGTCAAGCAGGGATCATAATATCAATGAACTGTATGGGGCAGAAGCTGAGCTGTTTAAACCTATGACCTGTGAAGGCAACCAAATCTCTGATGAGGATCATATGATATGGGAAAAAACGGGTAGTTTCACCAAGGAATGTCAAGTTTCTGAAGAGATCCAGAGCTACAATTCTGTGAAGGTTGCAGATGTCAGTCCAAAGGTCCAAAATTCTAGTGCATCTGAATTGAAAAGGTCTGATGCTTTGTCTGACTCTAGATTTAAAAACCAAGCAAAAGATGATGGTAGTAGATTTAACACAAAGAGTAGGAACCCACATGTGGAAGATGCACAAATGCTGGCTTTAGGGGGAAGGTTTATAGATGAAATGAATGATGCTGACCTGAGCACTTCAGCTCCAGAAAATTGTGGAAGGTTAATAGATGAAATGATTGATGTTGACCTGAGCACTTCAGCTCCAGAAAATTGTCAACTGGTGAGAACTGATTGTGGAAATGAAAAACCTGAACAGCTAGACCTTCCAAATTCCTGCTATGTTGGAGAACAGGTTTCCCAGGAAAATAAATTGCACTTAAATTATTGTGAGTTGGATGGATTCAGTATTTTCCCTGAAGAATCCCAGCAGAAATTTTTTCTTCAATTTGTTGATTCAAAAGGACCAGAAGGAACTGGTACCTGCAGAAGTGAATCAGAAGTTTCCAGAACCGTTTCTCTAATACCACATGGTATGCTAGATTTCAGTTCTAATGTTGCAGAAATAGTGGAGTCCCAGAATGTGGATAATACTGCATCAGTATCTGAAAGCAACGAAACAGTGGTTGAGAGTTACAACCTGGACTCACAGTCAATGAGTGACTTTCAGCTTCATTGTCAAGACTGTTCTTTGAAATTGGATAGTGTGGGAGACTTCACGTCCAAGCTAAATGTGGAAGTGCAAGTTGCGGGTGGCTCTGCGATAAAAGACATAATTGAGCCCAAGGATTTTGGAACCAAAGATTGCAACTTACTTGTTGAAAGTTGCTATGGTGTCCCTCAGCTAGAGACTGAAGATGACAAAAGCTATTGCCAGCAAGATACTTCAGTAGAGCAGAGTGATAAGATCAATCTCAGTTCAGATATTGGTGTCATACGAGAGTACCAGGACATTAATCCAGGATCTTGTTTGAATGGAACCTTGCTTGCAAACAACGCTTCCTGCAAGGTATTTGAGGAAACTGTTCATGAGGTTGGTCTAGATGACTGTGATGCTTGTGGAATTGAATCAAAGAGTTCAAAAGTAGCAGCAGCAATGCATGATGGCAGACCTGATTTGGAGGAAAAGGCTGACTACTTACAAATGGAAGTTGCAGTGACCAGCTCCTTCAAGATTGAACCATCATCAGAAAATCTTCAAACTTGTACGAAGTCCAGTCATGACAATAAGCTAAGCAATCAAGCTGGTTCTGTGGAGTCTGATGTATCTGCAAAAACAACCAATGAAGAAAACTCTGCCTCTACTTTGGCATATAGTTCCTGCGAAGGGGAGTTATACTCATCTGTCATCTCTGATCCAAGATCATCAAGTGGAAGAATTCTGCAGGAAATTGAAGTTAATGTATTGAGCAGAAAAACTTTGGCAGAGGAATCTGAAATTAATATCTTGGAAGAGAATCATACTCTTAGCAGTGAACTGCAGCATGAGTTAGAAGATACCTTGCACCCCACAGAAGATAATGAGGCAACAAAAGAGATGTATGTACCAAAAAGCCTAGATCAATTTTATCTACTTGTATGTGTGCGCAATGGCAAGTGTGATAAAATGCCTTTTGTCTTTTGAGCCATTTGTTTCACATAATTTATGGATTGTTTTAGATGGTACAAAAGTTCTGTGAGAGATTTAATTTTCCTGTCTCTGATTGCAGTAAGAAGTCTGGAAGTGATAGGAAACAAGATGCCCCTGTAATAAAGCTTCCACCCGATGCTGTTCCATTCTCGGATGAATGGTTAGCTGCACTTGAAGCAGCCGGAGAGGTAATAGTTGTCCTGCAAAGCTTTTTAGTGCATGCACACTATAACTTATAACACACGAACTGCATTTTTGCAATTCATACCAGCATTTTATAACTTTTTGTTTTTATTTACCAAATGTCTCATGGCACTACAATGGCTACATATTCTCTCTTCATTTCTTTTGGATCCTCATAAGCAATTAATTGTTACTCTCCACTCCTTTAAAATCAATGAATTGTGATGTGGCAATGCAATTCTTAAATATGCTTTCTTCATTTGTTTTGCACCCTTTATGTATGTAATGCTACTGTCCCACTTCTTTAAAATCAATGAAATGCGGTTCTGGGTTTAAACAGAGACACATTTTATAGGAAGACAATTAGCCTTAATTTATTTGATATTGTAATCTTATATCAAGTTTTTCTTTTCAAAAAATCTTATACCAAGTTTTGGTGCAGGAAATTTTGACAAAGAAAAGTGGTGCTGTACAAAATTCACCCCCGAACAAATCTGAACCTCAAATAGGTCCATGGTCCCCGGTATGGTTTTGCTTACTGGACAATCATCTATTCGTTGTTTGCATTTCCATACATAGACTTGGACCCCCCACAAAGAGATAGGGAGAGAAACAAGGGTGATTCACTATTATACCAAATATAGGAGCCTAAATTATAAAAAAAAACAATATATGAAAAGGACTTTAAAAACACACCCAAAGTCTATTTACAACATAACAAAAAGGCTTTTAACTTCTTTTAAATTACAAAATTGCAATTGATTTCTTAAAACAAACCCAACTCAAAAACTTTATAAAAAAGCTCAAAACACTCAATAGGGCATCAAAGTAATTTAATAATCAAAATTAAATTCAATAGGGCCAGTTGTTATTTTTTGGGTTTGTTTATAGAAATTAAATAGTGTGGGGTTTATTTATAGTTTTAGTGCTAAAAATGGATATATGACTAAATATCTATTCTTGGGGTGTGCTTTTGGCTTAGTATGTAATTTTATTATTTGCATTATCTATTTTGCTATGAGCTCATGTGTTTCCATTGTTGAATTTCAGGTGAAACGAAAAACTAATCAAGTAATCGGACCATTTGATTGTACAAAACATACCAACAACGTCCCTCCTAGTTCTCAATGACCTAATTAAGAGGAGTCTGCCTAATCACTAACTGTGTGACACCATTCTTCTTTCCTCCTTTTCTTCTACTTTTACAGATAATTGTCACATTATCTTGCTATGAAACATACAAAGAAAATCAAGCAATTCTTATTATTATTATTTTTGCTTCTTTTTTACCACTTTGGTTTAACATAGTGCAAAGTTTGTACTGTCATTGCACAACGGTTCACCTGTCATTACTTGCTTAACTAATAGATAGTTAGTAGTTTTGTATTGGTATTAAGGAATTTGCATGCAGAAATTCAACGAGATAAAGAAACAATATCATGTACTAAGAATGGAAATTACCACGAGCAGTCAATTTTTTTTTTTTCTACAGCCAATTACACTTGTACAATATATCTAATTGTCAGCTATGATCTCCTCTATTGATGAGTATATATAGGAATTGTAAGTCTGATCCATAAAGGATTTGGACCAACAACTGTTTTGGTCTAATGGTTGGCTGACCACATTATAAACATCATCGAGCGCATAAGTTGACAAAGGCTCTGCATCTTCTGCCAATAATTCATCGACGGTGAAGAGTAAATTCGGATCTTGATGATCATCGGCATTCATATTATGTTGCCATGTTGATCTTGCTAGTTGATCGCTATTATACTCAAAATTACTCAGATTGCTGGTGGCTGCTTCCAGTGGTCCATCAAATTGATTAACACAGAGGCAAGAAGTAGGCTTTCAACAATCTGAGGTAGTTGCTGCGAGTTTAACAATGGTGGTTTGCGGTCTAGTTTTACGAAGAGTTCATCAATGTCGAAACTTTTATGATTGGTGTCGATCAAATAATCTTGATCACAAGTTGTAATGTCGTTGATCATCAACTGATTGCTCTCATCATTCATAATTTGCGGCCCCACTGAATTTTCAGTCTTCATCTCCTTTGTAGGTTGATCTCTTTTCGTCTTCTTGTTTGATTGATCTTGAGATGAGCACTTCCTCTTTTTCCCGGACTTGTCCGTATTGCACTTCCTTCTCAGCCGACAAATCACAACGTCAAAATCATAGCAATTACGACTTGTACGATTCTTGCAGCCCTTTTCGAAAAGGCTATATTCATCCAAAAGCCAGCCGGCGTGGTCCTCCGAAGTATTGCCGTTCTCGTACTGGAATTTCCATTTTCTACCTATAATCTCATCCACCTCATCTTTAACATCTTGGTAGGTTTCGGTTTCACTCCAAGTACCGCAGCGGCCAGTCTTGCGTTGGATGCGCAAATCGTTTCTCTGGAGCTCGGAAACGAAGTACAAGTCTTGATCGTCAAGTTGATCCCCTCCGTAATCTCTCCAAATTTCTGAGGGTTCTCGTTTGTTGCCGAAGAGGTTGCACTTGTTTATAACCTTGTTGTATGGCGGCATCAAAGTCAGAGGGTTGTTCGCCACCACCATCTTGTAGAGAAAGAAGCCGATAATTTCTGGGTCCGTGGGGACGAACCGGAAGCCGAGCAGCTGCGTCACGCCGGAATTAGCCATGAGAGAGAGACAGAGAGAGGTAGAGAAAAGACCTTGGTTCTTGTTCAAGTGTTTGTTTGCTTATTTTTGATCAACTGTGTTGATAGCAGCGACTATATTTATAATCCAGCAGTTACTTGGAGATAAAGAATAGCCGTTGGAGACTAGTTTTCCTTATTTCGTTTGGAAACTAATAGGCCCAGCCCCAAGTCGAGAAATAGAACAAACGCAGAGAGAGAGAGAGAGAGAGAGAGAGAGAGAGAGAGAGAGAGAATGCCTGAACGAGAACGAGACGAGAGCGACTCTCTCTCAAACGTAGCCATATTTTCTTCTCATTCTGTGAGGAAAGGAGAAATACGACAAGTACGACTTCGAGAAGCAGCGCGACCTCAAACGATGCCTTCGCTCATCTCTATGCTGGCGTCGACGACAAAATCTAAGATGCTCTTCAGGTTTATATGAATCGCGTCTGTTCCTCATTCCATTGTTTCTGTTTGGTTGCCGAGAAAATGTAGCAACGGAGAGAAAGGGGAAACGGAAATATTTGAGTGCCTGGTGTTTGATTGTGTGCTGAAATATGCAGAAAGCCGAGATGGGTGAGTAATCGGGCTGTGGCGGTTGAATGTGGAGATTCGACGGACCAAAGCTTGTTGGGTGAGGAATTACGTCTGATTAGATATGAGAAATTGAATTGTTTATCTGATAGGCTTTTTCTCCAATTGTTTCTTTGTTTTGGAAAAGTGGTGTGGATTGAGCCTCTCTAACTCTCTGTCTATCCATGATGCACAAGTGTCGTTCTTGTAGTACTAGATTAGAAATAGGATAACTCTAGAAGAATCTAGAAGGAACTAGACTAGGAAGTCCAATTGGTATTTCCTTTTTCTTAATTGGCACCTGTAGCAGATTGTATTTACGATTAGTTGGAGAAATTTTATACACCTGACAGAATGTTGAGAGGATTGGAAGTTATCTTGCTAATTTAGATAGACTTCTGGCATATATATGTATATTTGACCCATGATAGAATACTATTTTTAAGCTCCCACCTAATTAATTGAATGGGGATCGACAATCCATTGATGAATACATCAACAGTTCGTAACTACGTACCGTCTGATTTTTCGCAAGATTTAAAAAACAAACAGTTGCAGCTCATATAGTTTGTCTGTCAAGATTGTGGTATTGGATTGCGTTTGTGTGTGTGTTCTGCGTTGTGCTTAATAAAAATTGGTGGGAGCATTCCTATCAGTCGCTTATTAAAGCTATAGTTGTTTAGTCATGCAAAAGGGTAGCCAGAGAAAAAGGGAATCAAGCTTTTGAGAAAGATGTTTAACCATTGTTGCAAATGCAGGTGCCTGCAAGCATGTTTGCAAATGTAAATGTATTTATGTATGTAAAGTATGTTGGCAGCCATGCTTGCACATGTGTAGTTGGTGCCTGGGGATCAAATTCTAGTAGGAGAGTGCTGCTAACAGCAAATCAGGTCAGTGCGGCGTCTATTTATCATTTCTGTTATCGTATCTTGAGCAGGAGTAGAAATTCATAAGCAGTCAAATTTATAGAGAACAACATGCACTTCAACTTTGACGCCTTAAGATTGAACTTGTTAGCATTAGAAAATTTAATGGTGCATAGTCCTTTGGGTAATATATTCATTTTCCATTTCTTGTGATAATTTGAGTTAGGCAATGAATCTGGCCTTCTTCATATTCTTCTACTTGTGCTACAGAACATATCTGCTCAGCTTCAAATTCCAAAGGCCAATGACAATGAACTTTAGGTAATTAGAAAAACTCATAATTACCACCTGGGTGGGATTCAAATATATTTATTCCATATAGATATGCTCATCTGTTATCGCTTGATCCGAGATCATCAAGTGGAAGAATTCTGCAGAATATTGAAGTTAATGTATTGATGAGCATGAGCAGAAAAACTTCGGCAGATAAGGAATCTGGAATTAATATCTTAGAAGAGAGTCATACTATACTTTTAACCGTGAACTGCAGCATGAGTTGGAAGATACCTTGCACCCCACAGAAGATAATGAGGCAAGAAAAGAGCTGTATGTACCAAAAAGCCTAGATCAATTTTATCTACTTGTATGTGTGTGCAATTGCATGTGGTGTCCTTGTGTGTTTTGAGCTATTTGGTTCACATGATTTATGGATTGTTTTAGATGGTACAAAAGTTCTGTGAGTGAATCAATTTTCCTGTCTTGCAGTAAGAAGTCTGGAAGTGATAGGAAACAAGATGCCCCAGAAATAAAGCTTCCATCAGATGTCGTTCCATTCTCGGATGAATGGCTGCGCTTGAAGCAGCCGGAGAGGTAATAGTTGTCCTGCAAAACTTTTTAGTGCATGCACACTATAACACACGAACTGCTTTTGGATCCCCTGCCAAATTGCTTTCGTAACCCACAAATTGCTACAACAATTGCATATAAGGATAAAAATAAAAATAAAGGCTTGTTTATTAATATGCCCCGTGTGCTTCACTAAAAATCTCATTTAACCCCATGAATTTGAAATTGACTCAATACCCCGTGTGCTTTGTATCCGCGTCCTTCATTACCCAAAAATAAATGAAGAAAGTTAATGCTTTCATGGCACCACAATTGCTACATATTCTTTCTTCATTTGTTTTGGATCCTTATATGCAAGGAATTGTAACTCTCCCACTCCTATAAAATCAATGAATTGCTACTCAATTGCTCATGTGTTTCCATTGCTCTTGAGTTTCAGTATACCACTATTCTTTTGGCTTTATTTAAAGAGTTGTTCTATTTAAACCAAAATAGAACAACTTTTTTTTTTTTTTTTTTTCAATTGAAATAAGGAAACCTAATTTCATAGAAGAAAGAAGTCAATTGAAATAAGGAAACCTAAATATAGCAAAACGTGCAAAACCGAGAACAAGCAATCATAATACTCACCTATCAACTGGGGCCCATGAAAGATATTGTGTTGCTTCAGCAGCATCACAAAAACATCAAATCTCTGGAACTTCAAGAGCCAACAAAATTGCTTCAGCAACAAAATTTTGGAACTTGCCTAATTAGAATAAAACAATAAAAACTTAATTGGGGTTTAATTGAAAAAGAGAAATCAAGTTTCCTTGATCGTGAGGGAGAATTTTACTGGCTAAAAATTAGAGTCCCTTTTTGGTACTGATTTAGAGTTGTTATAAAACAAGGTGCCTTGCTTGTCAATGAACCCCAGGACCGATATTCACCCCTTTTTAAAACCCTAGCCAACCCTTTTCAAAATCCAAAGCCTCTCTCTCTCTCTCTTTCTCTCTCTCTCTCCCCAACCACTCCAAGAAGTACTGCCACTTATATCACCATGAAATCTTCTGACAGAGCGCTTCAAGAACTTAAGCTTTTCCATACACTCGATCGCAACATATATTATCGACTCTTGGTGGGATTAGGTTTTGACCCTATCCTATCCAAGTATATCGTAGCCCTTTGGTACACGCTTGAAAGACAAAGTATTGGGCAGCAATTTATGGTGAATACCTTATTTTTGCACGATCCATTCTTCAATGACTTGGCAAACGAATCTTTTGAGTTATTGAAACGTTTGTATTCAGATTGCGTTCATCCTCCGTTCGAGGACATCGATAGCCAGTTTCCGAAACTGCGTCTTCTTGTTCCCGTAAAA